TATATATATATATGCACAAACTTACAATAATCCTGCAAAAATACTCATCTTTGCTCTGGAACATTCAACTAAACAATACTTGTATTTTACACATAATGGTAAAAGTGTAAACATGAGCCAGTCTTCTTCACATTCAGTGTGTAAGTCACTCTGTGAGCTCAGTCCTCATTTATTTTAAGGCCGTCCGGTTTTCTGTGACTAAATCAGAGTCACAAGAGAGTCTCTGTTCCACATAGAAGCAAAACAGGGGGGAGACATCATTCATATTCACTAAATATAGCGTCCATAAAAAATTGCAGCATTAGCAACTCACAGTAGACAGCAGGTTCTGTTGTGCAGGGTTTACATGAGCGATTGTCAACAACTTCAAACTAACAAAGGAATGTATTTTTTTTCTGTAAACAACATAATAGGTGAGCGGGGAACGGAAACATTTTTCCTCCATGTATAACATGAGGGAAAGTTTTTCTTTTTATAAAAGTTTCCCCACACTAATAGCATAATAGGTGTGAGGGGAAGTTTAAATGTATGCCAGAATACATTATTTATTTTAGAAGAGGAGGAATATGTGATGTTCTCCTTTTTAGCTGTCGAATAAAGGTGCGTTCACGCCATATCGGAATTCCCGTAATTACGAGATTCCAACTTGTAAAAAGCGTTCACGTCCTCGTAGAACTCGTAATTACAACTTGTGAACTGGGAGTTTTCTGAGAGCTACGACTTGTACCACCTGACCACCGCAGGCTCTGTTTAGGCGTTGATAGTCGGTGCGTTCCAAACGGGATATATCGCCCTCCGAAGGGCACTTCGGAGTGAAAACAATCATGGCCGCCATATTGAAGGGTCGTTCCAAACCGAAGTGCTCAAAACTGGCCACTTCAAAGGGCCCTTCGGAATGAAGGTTTTCGAAGGGTACAACTGATGGACACTTCGGGCCCCCATGATCCTTTGCACAGGGAAGTTGTTTGGCGTCACAGAGTTCAACTTCGCCTATAAATGTATGTATAGCATTTTTCTATACTACTGTAATATTTATACAAGTTAGATTTGGTCATCTCGAAATTACGGTAATTACGATATGGCATGAACGCAGCATAACATCGAGTGTCTAAACCTAAAGATAATTTTAAGGTAATTAATTCAGATCATTCTAGCGCAAATTGTACGACAAAGGGGGTTGGAGGATTTTAAGACAAGATAGCATGCCCCAATACTTTTTCCACTGGCAAAGTACAGAATTACAGTGCTAGTATCCCAATTTATTATTATTAATATTTTAATGTGACCCGCCCATCCAGACCCTTTGCCTGATATTTGATTGGCATGCGATCTGACCAATCATAACACCAAATCTGCTATTTTGTCCGACAAACAAATGTGATTTTCCTGGAAGGAGGCGCTCGATCTCGAGACTCGGTTCGAGCTCCAAATGAACATAAATTAGAACTAGATAAAACGAGATAAATTAGAGTAAGGGATAAATGTGAACGGAGACAAAATCCTGGGAAACAATGGTCTCTGGAGAGATATAGGTGAGCGAAAACAATGTTTAAATGCACCTTACGTTTAAAACCTGTTTAAATCGACATTTCATCATATGCCAAGGCGTGACGTGAAGAAAATCAATCGGATTCTTGAATTCGCTGGTGATCTTGACAGGCGTTTTTCACTGGAAATAGGCACATAAAACTAAACAATCATGATGCTGTGGAAACATTCAGTACAACATTCTGCAAATCCATTTGAATCTACAAGCGTAAGTTTTTTGTCATGTTGAGTAGTTCCGCCCCTTAGTGAATCGTCATTGGTTCAGAATCAGTATACAGCTTTTTGATTGGCTGTGATTTTAACATTACAAGCAGCATTCATTCACTTGGTTTGGACGCGGTGATCACATTCAGAGATAAACAGCTGTTTAACATTTTACATCTGATAGTTAATATTTCCTAATCCTTATTGCTGGATAGGATGGTTAGTAAGACTAATTTCCATGAAATACATCGATATATATGTGCCTCGGTTAGCTAGTGGTTTTCATTAAACAGTTATGTGAGCGAGCGACGCAACTAAACTAGATTGAAATCACGAGTTGTCATGGCATTCTTTAGCAAATTAAACATAAAAAATATTATTTTATAAAGATTATTCATGTTATGCAGAATTTCTTCTAGACGTGTGCAGATATAATAACTAGTTTACCAAAATGTTAAGTTTAGAAAAAGACCCTAATCCTACCGCCACAGTAAAATAAAAATGTTTATATATAAAAATAATAATAGTC